GTTTAGGCGAACTATCGTCTGTACAGTATGTAAATTAGGTACCGTAAGTCTAATACAGTACTGTAATTTTTTACATTTCTTGTGAAAGAAATATTTCTTATTCAACGTCCATAAAAATTATTTATATTAATGATGTCTCCAAAGTTCAGCGAAGTTTTCGCAGAAAAATAACATCAGAAATCGCGGCCGCCGTTTGCTGAGTTGTTCCGCGACGAAAACAAGCTTGAGCAATGGCGATGTCGAATGGTGAGCACTCGGTAAGTAATCGTACAATTTTTTGTTTATAGCGTAGTTTATACGGATTATTTCCAAAAATATATACGTATTTTGGAAATGTTGAGTCGGATTAGTCTAGAATCGATTAATTTTATGGAAGAAAACCTTTCAAACAGCCATAGTCCGTAAACTTCATACGTGTCGGGCTGTGATTGGCTGTGATTCCTACAAAATCGGATTCATAAAGAACGGAACGTATCTACCGTCTTATAGGGGGATCTACTGTATTTAAGAGAAATTGTAAAGGAAAAACAAGAGAGCCATCACCGACTTCAAAGAAGACATTTTAAGTGTTCTTGGAAAAATTGAAGAATAAAATAGGAGGTTACACCGTTGAAAAAATTGATCGAAAATTTAAAAACATGATTACAATTAGTGATTGGCGGCAAAGATTAAGTAAGATATCTTCTGCTAATAGATAGCGCTTCATTTAATGTCATGTATACTATCATTAGAGTTTGTGATAATCAGTACGTTTCTATATTCAACAGTTGACTCAACAGTGAATTTTCCGTTGAGTTCCTCTGTTGAACGATCTGACGTCACATTTTGCAGAAAAAAGAAACGCTTTCGTTGAGAGGTCGCTTTTCAAGATGGCTGACTTAAGTAACGAGAAGGTGGCGATTGTGGCTGTTCTGCTAAATAATTAAAGTAACTCGCTTAACCATTACTCGAATAAATCCTTTTATTCAAATCAACCCATATCTGTATCATTTTCTTGTTTACTGGGTCTTTCTTTCTTGTTTACTGGGTCTTCTTAATTACTTTCCTGAATATTTAGGCTATATCATTAGAAAGACTTAGGGCCAAATATCGGTCGTAATCAATTTTGAACAAATGAAAAAAATCTTAATATTTCAATATTTACCAAAATATCCAACAATCGTGCAATCATATGTTTTATCATATACATATGATTGCACGTTCATTAATCTGTCCGCTATTACAGCATCCACAGGAGCGAATGGATTTCTATAAGAGGAATTTACTTTTTCATGGAAGCCGCCATGTTAGTTTGTTGAATACTCAACGGTCTTTCAGGTCGTTGAGACCGTTGAGCTCAACGGTGAAACAGCGCTGACGTCACTACTCTCAACGGAGAACTCCATATATAT